CTGACTTTATGTACTGTAGTTTGTTAACAACGGGTAGATCAGTTCCATCTACAGAAGACATTAATATGTTTTTAAACGCAGGCCAGTGTCGAATGTCCCCATCGTATCTAGGGAGTTCTAATTGTGGCAATTTTACGCGAAGTTTCCTGGAAGTGCAGGTATCGTTACACATTGTCGTGTACAACGGATCGTGCCCGAATGACGATCGCAATGTAGTCGCAGGCGTTAAGCATCAATTTGCGCTTTAGTAGAAAAATATTTTTGATAACTCAATCCCATTATCAATCCCATTGAGCTGATTAGGGCGCAGGCCAAAGCGTATTTTGCAAGAAACAACAAGACCTTCAAAATGAAAAATGTAAAAAAACTTTTCGAAGAAGGACTAAATGAAGTGACTGCCGAAAAATGGAGTAGCTGCGTGGCTTACACAATAAAAGAAGAAGACAAAATATTTAATCTCGACAACATGATCGATAGTGTCTCAGAGAAGTTTATAATAAATGTTACTGACAGTGACAGTGATGATATTATATCTGATGACGATAAATAAAAAAATGTATTACGTAAGCCTGGTTTTTTATGAAATCCCTATGACGACATACACTATGGATAATTTTCGCCTGGTGAACTAACAACATGATATTTTTTTTTACCATTCAGTCGTTTTGTTTTCCGTTCAGTCATTTATTCACAACTCTATTTTTGATTCATCAAATCCTGACAACCCAGTAAACGTCAAGCAGCTTCGTTTAATTAAAAATACAACTTTAGTGTACTTTTTGAAGTGAAAACTTCTTTAGTATCATTGTGATTTGAAACTTGATGAAACGAAAATGTGACACTAAAAAAAGGCAAACATATATATACATCTATAGGATTTAGCCTGCGAGAAAATAAGATAGAATTCAGTATACAGTGATCAATTTATTTCACCTTTTTTTATTATTGTTTCACTTCTACCGCGTGTGAACTGCACACAAGTTTTTATACATTACAGAAAAATTACATACTTGCAAACATAAATGCTTTCAATTTTGCCAAACTATACTAACGTATGTGGTATGAGGAAATATAATTCATTCAGTAATTCATTAGAGGCTTTCAAAATTCACTGCTGATCATAGGCTTCCCCATAAATTATTTCACCACTTAAAACTCGTAGATTACTCGCACAAATCACTGTCCACTGAATGAATAATTAACCAATTTGGTTACGCTCGGAATTTCTCTGCGTGATAAAATCCGTAACCGCAGCTGCTAAAAACAATAGTTACTGACATAGTCCAGATCAGAAGAAAATAAGGTTCTCGAGTGGCAGCCTCGTACCGGAAAGCACAGTGTTAGATGAACTACGAGTATTTACTAGATGGTGTGACAAATTTGATGAAACAAGTATTGAATGCAGATGGTTGCAAATGGCTCTGATGATGATGATATCACTTGAGGTCACTTGATTAGTGTCGAAAACAGATCTAAAGTATCAACTGTACATCTGAAGACCAGTGCTTGTAATTAGTTACACACCCGTAACTTTTATACTGCATCTCTTGTTATTTTTTGACAGTTGAAAAGTTAAACAAATTGCAGCTTATACCATGAAGTCAAATGTTTTAAAGACCATCTGTCACTAAAGGGCAACCTAACCTGTCTGACCCTGAAAATATAACATCGATATCAGTTAGATTTACATACACAAATCCCAAAAAAAATTCAATGCAGAATGCATTGAATTTTACATTCATCCATTACAACTTATCAAACATTCACAACGAACATAGGCCTAGATTTTTAATTCTCAGAACCTTTTATGTGTTTTATGTTCGTTGTAAATTCACTGATATATGCTAGTTGACGTATCCGCCTAGGTAGTTCTTTACCGTTGTTGCTTATTGAAAATGCAATGGCTAGAAGCTTGTAATCGATAAAAAATTACTGATTTCCTGCCTTCAACAAGGAATAGAATAGAATGGAATGATTTTTATTCAATATTGATTATTACATAATACTTATTGAAAGTCATTTTTTATTTACCATTAGTTCGAAAAGTACCTCTGTCCTGGGAAGAACCAGCAAGAAACCCAGCGTGACTTTTTTTAAACACATTTCACTTAACAAAATTTTGATTATACAATTTTTAAATGAATATTCATAGAACCAGCATGGTGGCGATCACCTTATTCCCAGGGGTTATTTTCATTCATGTATTCTTTGATATTATAATAACCCTTTTGTACAGTTTTTCTTTAATAAAACTTTTAAACTTGTTTATTGACAAACTTTGAACATGTTCTGGGATTATGTTGTAAAAGCATATACATTGCCCTATAAATGAATTACTAATTCTTTGGAGTCTAGTAAGTGGCATTACAAGCTTATGTTTGTTCCTAGTGTTTAAGGTATGAACATCCTTATTGTTATTAAAGCTATTTATGTTTTTATGTACATACATTACATTTTCATAAATATATTGCCATGCCAAAGTTAATATGTTTATTTCTTTAAATTTTTCTCTGAGGGACTCTTTACAATTTAGATTATAAATCGCCCGTACGGCTCTCTTTTGCAAAACAAATATAGCTTCAATATCAGTCGCATCACCCCATAGCAAAATTCCATAAGACATTACGCTATGAAAGTAACTAAAATACACTAACCTAGCTGTCTCAACATCTGTGAGACTTCTAATCTTTCTTACAGCATATGCTGCAAAACTAAGTCTGCTTGCTAATTTAGATATATGAGGGCCCCATCGAAGTTTCGCGTCGATAGTAATACCAAGAAAAACGGTGGTATACACAAGACTCAACTCAACATTTAAGAGCACATTGGTATTCGATTGTTTTATATGAGTTATTGTAAATTTAATAAATTTTGTCTTATTGCCGTTTAAATCTTAATCTTATTGTCGCTCAGCAAGCTATGGAGAGGGCTATGCTCGTAGTTTCTCTGCGTAATAAACTTAGAAATGAGGATATCCGCAGTAGAACCAGAGTGACCGACAAAGCCCAAAGGATGAGTAATCTGAAGTGGCAATGGGCCAGCCATATAGCTCGAAGAACCGACAACCGATTGCTAAAAAAAGTTCTCGAGTGGCGGCCTCGTACTGGCTGACGAAGTGTAGGGCGCCCCACGCTAAATGGAGTGACGACCTGGTAAGTTATGCACGAAGACGATGGATGGAGGTGGCTCAGGACCGTGCTTTGTGGCATTCCCTGAGGGATGCCTATGTTCAGCTGTGGACATGTGAAGGGCTGTAATGATGATGATGATGATTATTATTATTTTTTACATCGTCATAATTAATAGACTGCCGTTTGAGTTTGAAAATTAAAAAAGTATCGTCAGCAAATAATACTATATCGTGATTGTCCCTTACAAGATAAGGTAAGTCATTAATATACATTAAGAACAGGAATGGGCCAAGAATCGAGGCCTGAGGAACTCTCATTGATACTACCGAGCCGAAGGAACCTTCACCATTGATCACGACTTTTTGAGTTCTGTTACTAAAATATGTAGTGATAAGTCTAAGTGTCATATTTTTTACACCGTAATGTTGTAGTTTCCTGATTAATGTCTCATGGTAAACACAATTGCCTTGGAAAGCCTTGGAAAGATCACAGAAAATACCTAAGGCATCTTGTGAATTCTCCCAGGCATTAAAAATATATTTCATAAGCTTAACGCCGGAGTCAGGCGTCGAACGACCCCTTGTAAAACCAAATTGGTTTTAAGAAGTAATTCATTTGTATTAAAAAAAATTAACAATTGATCCAAACTTATTTTTTCAAAAATTTTGCTGAGAGTTGCCAGTACAGAAATTGGTCTAAAATTAGCGAGGTCCAATGTACTACCAGATTTAAATAAAGGTATTACTTTACTATATTTCATTTAATCAGGAAACACACCAGAATCGATACAAGTACTAAAAATAATAGCAAGACGAGGTGCAAATAAATCTCTTATAGACGCAATAGCAGTAACGGAATTCTAAAAATCTGCATTTTTCTTTACATCAATGGTTTTGAAGTATTTTACAATATCATGCGGGAATACTTCTTCAAATCTTAATTCTTTTAAACAGGTATTAACATTCTGTTTGAGTAATGACTCGGCGACAGTTGGAGAAGTATTCAATAACTCTTTTGTCAAGATCGGAACATCAGTGAAATATTTCTCAAACACCGCTGAGACTTCTTGATTACATTTATTCAATTCATCGTTAATTTTTAATTGATAGTTTGAGTTACGAGGTTTGTCTTTACCGGTTTCGTGCCACCGGGATACGAAATAGTCACAATAATAAACAATACCATAAATCTATATCGTTGCCGTCGAACACTGCTATAGCTTCAAATGCTTCAAATAAAACAGCTGATTGTCTATGTTGCGGGGCGGCACATCCGCTTTTCAAATGTCCGAAGTTTCAAGAACTTGATATTTCTGAAAGATACGGCTTAGTGTCTAATAAAAATGTTTGCATGAATTGCTTACGTTTAAATCATAATACAAAAAAATGTTTTTCAAAAATTACATGCTCAACTTGTGGTGAGCGTCATCATTCGTTGCTCCACGATAACACTAGCATTGCTGCTGTTCCGTGTTGCTTCACTGACAAGACTAGCGACAAAACAGTAGTTACGGTTGACGACTTGACCTCGACTGCGAGCTCCGTGACTACCAGCGCTCACGTTGGTCATAGTCGTGCTCTCGTTTTGCTCGGCACATGTGTAGTGCGCGTGCGTGGTTGCGGTGCTGCCGCTCAGTATACTACCGCCCGCGCACTTATTGACAGTGGAGCTCAGGATAGTTTTATGACGTTATCACTCGCTCAACGTTTAGGGTTGCCCATTCGCCGCTACAATTTAGCTGTGGCAGGTTTAGGACAAAATGTAGTGCATCAAATAAAGGGTGAAACTTCATGCGTGGTAATGCCAACGGATTCTGATAGTCCAAACTTCACTATTAATGCCATAATAATGAATACAATAACAAGTAAAATGCCTGTTGTAGAAGTACCTTCTGAGGTTCGTGAAAATTTTAAACATCTAGTTTTAGCAGACAAACAGTTCGACAAACCCACTAATATAGACATGCTGCTGGGCGCAGAGCTATTCCATAAAATTTATGATGGCCAACACCTAGAGATAGGTCCTGGTTTACCAGTCGCTCTACATAGTGTCTTTGGGTGGGTGCTCACTGGCAAAATTGATCACAGCTGTCACCCTCCACCTATGGTTTCTTCCCTCGTTACTTCCACCCGGCTTTTGAATGACGTGGTCAAGCGTTTTTGGGAGGTCGAAGAACCACCGAAAACATTTATATCGAACCCCGAAGACGTTAAATGCGAAGAACTCTACCGTGAGGTTTACGTGACACAAGAGTAGAGACTCTTGTGTCACGTAAACCTGACGGTCGTTACGTCGTTCCTTTGTTACTGAAGAAGCCTTGTGATGATCTGGGTAAATCTTTCGAGATGGCAAAATCACGCTTATTCAAACTCGAAAAGCGACTTGAGCGCAATGTAGAGTTAAAAAGGGACTATTCTGATTTTATGACTGAATATTCCGATCTGGGCCATATGCAACCCGCAGACGTTGGATCAGGCAAATTTGTAATTCCGCATCATTGTGTACTCCGCCCTGAGAGTACTACGACAAAACTACGTGTCGTTTTTGATGCAAGTGCCAGAACGACGAACGGAAAATCTTTAAATGATATCGTGTACACTGGGCCTAAGCTTCAAAATGACATTGTTGATGTGCTGACAAAATTTCGTCTTCACGCAACAGTGTTTACATCCGATATTTCGAAAATGTATCGCAATATAGATTTACGTCAGGAAGATCGAGGGTGGCAACACGTGTTGTGGAGAAACTCTCCAGCTGATCCCGTGCGTGAGTTCGAATTAAATACCGTGACATACGGTGTGACTAGTTCACCATACTTAGCCATTCGTACTCTGCATCAATTAGCGGTCGATCATGCTTCTGAGTATCCTCAAGCGGCTCACGTTATACGTCATGATACTTTTATGGACGATATAACAACCGGAGCGCCATCTCTTAAACAGGCACTTGAGCTCAAAGATGAACTTATTAAACTACTGGGCTGTGCGCAATTTGAGCTGCGTAAATGGTGTAGTAATTCAGCCGAGTTTATTGCAGCTCTACCGTCTGAACATTGTCAAGTACCTAGGGCTTTTTGTGACGAAAATCACAACCATATCCTTAAAATTCTTGGTATACAGTGGGATCCCGTAGAAGACTTCTTTAAATATTCAGTGTCCGGGTTCAATTACAATTTAACAAAGCGTGCAATATTATCTAATATCGCTCGCATCTATGACCCAATTGGTTGGCTCACTCCTGTTGTTCTAATAGCCAAACTATTGCTTCAAGACATGTGGCGCCTTCAGCTAAGTTGGGACAAACCCGTTCCACCTGAGGTCGCTCACCAATGGCACAACTTTATCTCTGAAATGCAACATGTTAAACAGATTAAACTGACTCGTAGAGTTACACATGATGACGCCAAGAGTTACCAATTGATTGGGTTTGTGATGGCTCTTCAAAGGCATATGGATGTTGTGTATACTTGAGGACAGTTCGTGCCAACCATTTTAACACGCATCTGTTGATTGCAAAATCAAAAGTTGCACCCCTAAAACCACTAACGGTTAACCGTCTAGAGCTTTGCGGTGCTGTCCTTTTAGGGCGAGTTCTTAAGCACATGCAAAATTTGCTGCGAGATAAAATCCCCCTCAGTAAAGTGATTGCCTTTACTGATAGTAACACGGTTCTAGCATGGTTGCACACGGAACGTCATAAACTGAAGACTTTTGTTTCCCATCGCGTTGCGAAAATCATCGACGATGTATCAGTTGATAGCTGGCAACACGTATCAACATATGATAATCCTGCCGATCATTGCAGTCGAGGTCTTAGCGGTTCACAGCTAGCGACATGTTGTACGTGGTGGTCAGGTCCAAATTGGCTCGCTAACGATTCCTCCACTTGGCCAGTAAAGTGCAAGTGGGAAGCACAAGATTCCGTACCCGAGTTGCGCTCTACTGCTCATGTATCTCAAACGGATACTAGCTCTGCTGAGTTGGACTTTATTGGTGGACTGTTAGACCGTTACTCCACGCTATCCCGCGTCCAGCGTGTGCTAGCTTGGTGTCTGCGTGCTGTAGCAGCATTCAAACGAAACTCTAAAACTAAGAATTTCCTGAGCGTATCAGAGCTGGAGCAGTCTATCGTTTATATGGTTCGACATGAACAAAAACTTCATCTTACAGATGAAGTCAAAGCCACAAAATCCGTTAAAAAACTGAGTCCATTTATTGATGATGCGGGATTGCTGCGAGTGGGGGGCCGTCTAAAGTACGCTAATCTACCAGCAACTGTAAAACATCCCGTATTGTTGCCAAAGGCTTCACGCCTATCATTGTTGATCATAGATCACTTTCATGTCAATTACTTACACTGTGGTCCTCGTACTCTTCAATCGATTATTCAGCGTAGATATTGGATACTTGGCATCCGTAACTTAATTCGGTCGCGTTTATCTAAATGCATAGCATGTTTTAAGGTAAAACCGGTTGTTTGTCAGCCTTTAATGGGAAATCTTCCTTCACCAAGAGTACAACCGACGCGGTGTTTCCAAAATGTGGGAATCGACTTTGCCGGTCCATTCATGGTGAAGGAAAGTCGTAGACGAAACGCTCGTACTTACAAGGCCTACGTGTGTGTATTCGTTTGCCTCGCGGTAAAGGCTATCCATCTTGAGGCAGTAACCGAGCTATCAACTTCTGCTTTTCTTGCAGCGTTAGATCGCTTCGTATCACGTCGTGGCCTTTGTACCTTCATAGTCACCGACTGCGGTACTAACTTTATTGGTGCCCGCCGTTACCTTAACGAACTACAGCAAATGATTTCTAAGAATAAGGATTCACTTGAGTCTAGTCTTGCGAAACGAAACATTATCTGGCGACTGAACCCTCCTACCGGGAGTAATTTTGGTGGCATATTTGAGAGCGGTGTAAAATCAATGAAGTTTCACTTAAAACGCGTTATAGGGTTACAAGTATTGACATTCGAGGAGCTCATAACAATTCTTACTAAAGTCGAAGCAATACTTAACTCGCGACCGTTGTGCTGTCTATCTCCGGATCCTAATGAGGTCGATATTCTTACACCTGGTCATTTTTTGGTCCATGGTTCTCTTATAGCGTTACCAGAACCTGAACTTTCTAATGAATATGTTCCACCTCGGGCCCGCTGGCAGATGTTGCAAAAACTTACACAGTGTTTTTGGCATATTTGGCAACGCGATTATCTCCATACCTTGCAGCAACGCGCGAAATGGTTTCGAGAACAACCAAATATTCATGTCGGAGATATTGTACTAATTGTCGATAGCAATTTACCACCACTAGAGTGGCGTTCAGGTAGAGTTCAAGACGTGCATCCCGGCAAAGACGGTGTAGTGCGCGTGGTCACCCTACGCACTACTAATGGACTCCTTAAGAGACCAGTAAATAAACTGTGTCCTTTACCTTTAAATCAATAATATATAGCTATACTTATGAAAAAAAAATGTCAATTTTTTTTTTATTAATATTATAGTTTTTTGTTATTTAGCTTACAGGTATAGTTGGATATTAAATTTTGTTGCCTTACATACCTTTCTAATAGGTATGTAACTCAAATTCAAGTATTAATATTATAGTTAGGTAGATATTATTCTAAGTTAGTTTCTAGTTCGTGAAGTATTTAGTTTTATAGGGAAAACTGCTATTATTGCTCATGAAATCTGAAACGATTTCAAGTGGGGGGAATTATGTACTGGCTTGCCTTCTTTACTTTTCTATCGCATCCTTCCTTCCAATTATATGCAAAACAAACCTTATGGCGCCATCTGTTGGCCTACAACAAAAGCGTCTGCAAGAGAAGTCGACGCGATCGATACACACATGTAATCAAGACTCAAGACGAACTGCATCGGTAATGGCTGTTCTTGTCTAAACCTTCCAAAATAAAATCAATGTAATTAAGAGTTAGTGAGTGTGCCGGGTCGACCCAGCTGTGTGCATAGACTATATAATCACGTAGGAGTGTGGTCAAGGAAGACTGAAACCTTCCTCATCCGAAGATATTGTTGAAGCCAAGTTGAAGTTGATCGCCGCTGCCGCTAACCGTGAGTTTACCTATTTCATTCACCCTTCCTGGTGGGCCCGACTAATTTTCTCTCACTGTAGGTAAATTAAGTAGCAATTCCAAATTAAATTCGTTTTATTTTTATTTCAAGTCGAAGTGTCGCGATTACTACAAAAACGGAGTTCAATCAGTGCAATTTCTATTCTAACTGTTAACATTGATAGTCCTTGTAGTGGCGGGCAACCCCATATCTTCCCTTGGGTGTCGTAAGAGGCGGCAGAGGGAAACTGAGGCAGAACATGGGAAGTAGCATCTGTCTGATAACTGCTTATTAAAATAAAGAAACTGCGGTTGACAACCCGCCCGCCAAGCGTGGCAACTGTGGCAATATACCCCCATGAAGAGAGTTCTTCTTGTTCTTCTTCTTCTTTATTCTTTTTTAAAAAACGTAACCTCCACACTAGGAATTTTTCCTGTATCGCGGGGGCAGTTTACACACATACATTTCACAAAGACAAACATCCAGACCCATACAAATACTTGTTCTGTGCGGGATTCGAACCCGCGGCCCTTAGCGCTGCAACCCATTGCATAGCCACTGCGCCACGGAGCTGTCAAGAGTTCCAGAAAGACGGCCCTTAGTCCCCGGCGGCCCCACTATTCTTGGCTACAGTGGCGACCATGGTAATGGCGGGCCAGGGGGTGCTAAGAATCAGCAGTGGAGGTTCGGTTGCATTTTAAGACCACTCGACATGGCAACATATAACGCACGCACCCTGAAGCTGACTAGAAGATCCTAAAGCTGGCAAAAGAGGTAGACAAGTTGCGCTGTGATATTATAGATTTATCTGAGATCCGAAGAGAGGGGGAGGACGCGGTAATCCTCGAATACGGCAACTTGTTCTATCACCAGGAGGGTGACCATCTGTTCCAAGTAGGTGTCGGATTTATCATCCACAAGTCATTCGTTAAAAAAGTTGTAAAGATTGGGAATATGTCGACGAGGGTTGCGTAACTTATACTCAGAACCACCAACTAACTTTGCTGAAGGTCATACAGGTTTACGCACCAACTTCGGCACATCCCGAAAATATTATAATATATATAATTTATATAATTATATAATTTCATACTGAAAACTAACAATGTGTCACTTTGATCGTTAATCATAGACTTAACTTAATTTTAAATTTCTCATTTTTGCTATAGATTCCTGTACTTTGAGTAATACTTTCTGAGTACTTTGTTTCTTTTTTTTATTTGTGTTTATGTCTTGTAAGTTACTTTTATTTTTAATTTTTTTTTGGTTTGTGTTTATGTTTGTAGTATTCATTAAAAATAATATTAATGTTTAACATGTCATGTTCCTGCGTAATTTTGATGGTATGGATTTAGATCGTCTGAGAGATGAGGCTGCAAAGATCGAAATCACTGCAACAGGTTGTGTAGAGATAAACAACGACGCTATATTCATAAATCTATACTCGATGAAGATAATTCCGGCAGAGTATGGAAATTTCTTAAGTCTCTTGGAGTTGGGAAAGCGAGTCAAAATAGTAGCCCTAAAAATATTGACTTAAACCAGCTAAATCAGCATTTCTCTTCATCTTGTGCCATAGATGAGGTCACAAAAATACAAACTAAAACTCAAATTTCAGCTTTACCCAAATCTGACAATTCTGCGTTTATTTTCAGTCAAATCACTGATAGTGATGTTAAGAAAAACATTGTTGAGATCAATTCTGATGCAATTAGTACAGACTACATTAGTCGTAAAATGATTATCCCTATTGTCGATATCTTGACTCCTGTTATAAAATCCATCTTTAATTATTCCATTTCATCCGGAAATTTTCCCTCTTCTTGGAAAGAAGCCCAGATTACTCCTATACCCAAAAAAGCAAATCCCTCCAGTTTCTCTGACTACCGCTCCATATCCATAATTCCATTCCTTTCAAAAGTTTTTGAGCGTATAGTTCATCGACAATTGAGCATCTACTTATCTAGGTGGAGTCTTTTCAATTCTTTCCAATCCGGTTTCCGTGTTGGTCATAGTACGACTACTGCCTTAGTCAAGATTACAGAGGATATTTGTCTAAGTATGGATAAACAGCACGTAACAGTGTTGACCTTACTTGACTTTAGTAATGCATTTAACAATGTGGATTTTGATATACTGTTAGCTATCTTAGCTTCTCTTAACATATCTCCTGAAGTGATTGACTGGTTTCATAGTTACTTGTTTGGTCGCCGGCAACGGACACGTGTAGATGATTCGTTCTCTAACTGGTGTACGATTAATGCAGGTGTACCGCAAGGTGGCGTGTTGTCTCTTCTCCTCTTTTCAATCTTCATTAGTTCGATCACGCTCCAATTATCTTCTCGCTACCACCTGTATGCAGATGATCTCCAAGTATATGAGCATGCCAAATTGATGGATTTACCCAATACTATAGGTTTATTAAACAAAGATCTTGACTTAATTGTGGATTGGTGTAAGTCATACGGTCTTAAAGTAAATCCATCAAAAAAAAAAACAATAATTATAGGCAGTCAAAAATTGGTTAATCTTATAACATTAACAGTGGTAGAGCCATGCGCAGCTTTCGCTGTTGCACGGATAGGCCGGCTCGATCCGGGGTGGTACCACGACCTCACAGAATACCAGCGTGAAGTAGAGGTTTACCTCTGCGTTTCGCTTGGTGAGTGCAGGTGGCCGGAGGCCCTTTTTACTGGAAATGAGGCATTCCATCTTAGTCCTCACGGGTGACAACGCATCTGCATTTTGATTCGCAAGCGAGGATAGATGTAGATGTCTATGGGCCGCAGCAACCACTTACCATCAGGTGGACTGTGTGCTCGTTTGTCACCCTTATCTTATAAAAAAAAAAAAAAAAAAAAATAGATTTTTCTTCCCTACCTGGTATTATTTTTGATGGGACACCTGTGCCATATAGTGACGCCGTTAAAAATCTAGGTGTTACTTTTGACAAATTTTTATCTTGGGCTCCACAGGTAAGCGAGGTAAGTAGGAGGATGTTTGCATCGGTCGGATCTCTCCGTCGATTAAGTAATTTTTTACCCATACCTACCAAAATTGCGCTTGCACAATCACTTCTTTTACCGATTCTCGATTATGCTGACACGTGTTATCTCAATTTAAATGAGGAGATGCTTAATAAACTTGAGCGCATTCAGAATCTATGCATACGGTTCATATTTGGACTTCGAAAATATGATCATGTCTACGAATATCGCGAAAAACTCAAGTGGCTTCCGAGCCGTCTTTGCAGGAATACTCACATTCTTTCTCTTTTATACTGTATACTATTCAATCCCACTTCCCATACTTACCTTAAAGAGCGGTTTGAGTTTCTTGGTGACATTCACTGTCGCTCTCTTCGCTCTGATAAAAACCTCACCCTAAAAATTCCATCTCATAACACTTCCTTCTATTCTAAATCTTTTTCTGTTGAAGCTGTTAGGCTCTGGAACTCCCTACCGCTGCACATTAGAAGTGCGCAGTCTATAATAATTAATATAATATAATAAATAATAAGTTTAAAAAACTTGCCAAAGCGCACTTCTTTCCTCTAAAAAATTACTACCTACTCATTTTTCCTTACGTTTAGGTTTTGACTTCACTTGCTTAACAGTTTCGCTGCCAGCCAAATTGTAAGGGTCGAGTGCCAAATGTCGACCAATCTTTTTGTTTTTATTTAGCTTAGACATCAGTAAAAGGTTTTAAAAAAAATTAAAAACATGTAATTATTATTTTCGTTAATAAAACAATAAAAATAAATCCCGCACCTGCGCGGGCCCGGCACTGCGGTTGGAAAATCCATACGTAGTGCCAAGCCCGCGCCAGAGCGTGGTTAAGTATTTAGTATTAATTGAACATACACAATACAATAATTAGTTATAAGGAACTAAAATGACACAAGAATTATAAGTAACAATATTAAGATAAACTACTATAATAATAAACAATTTTTGCTTGAAATACAATTTTTAGCATGAAATCAAATATAATCAACCGATATCAAATTATCAATTTTTCAAATTGAAGAATGATATACTTCAAAACATTCGACACATAATCCAGGTTTTTCGATGCAAGTAATGCAATGCCAAATAGTGTCTGTACGTTTTTTTTTCTTTTGTGCATTGGCGGCATTGCTTACGTTTCAATTTTCCTTTTGCATTTCTTTCCGTAATCTTACTGATTTTGTGCGGCATAGGAACTTGTCTTTTTACAGGTCCTGGATTTGTTTTGACATGTTTATCTGGTAGCAATGCGCTTATCACTGATAAGCGGTAATCATATAAGGTAATTTTAGGTTGACCTGAGTACTTATTATATATTTTGAATGAATTTATCAGTAGCAGTTGGAATGTGTGAATAGCAACCTTTAGGTACCACCGCAAAGTTTTCCTTTCACAAGGATAAAATGCTAACAACTGATCTTGCCGGTCGACTCCAGACATATAATCATTATATTTTGCTATTGCCTCGGGTTTTTGAGCGACTTGTCCACGTTTATTAGTTATTAGAACCATTTTATCTTCAAACTCTGTAGTAATGTAGGTAACAGGTCGTTTATCCTTCCATTTTCCTTTGTGAACTCCTTGGTAGTACCTAGAAATGTTTTCTCCTTTCTTCAGATTCTTTTGAACGACCTCTTGAGGATTTTGTTTCAGATTAATGCGTAATGTTCCAGTGCAGTACGTATTATTATCGAGAAGTTTTTTCGCTAAACCCAAACTGTTATAGAAATTGTCCATGTACAGTGCATGGCCATTATGAAGCTTTTCATTCATGAGCTGCATCACTACTTTATCGGCGTGACCTTTACCTAAAACTTCGTGGTCAAGACCGCCTGCGTACACACGGAATTTCAAAACCAAACCGTCAGGTTCAGTAAGCATATATAATTTGATCCCATATTTGTGACGTTTATTTTTTATAAATTGGCGGAACTTTAGTCGACCTCTCCATAATATCATGCTCTCATCTAAAGATAATTCTTTCGCGGGGTAAACACATTCGTTCATTTTCGTATTGAAATAGTCGACGAAACTGCGAACTTTTAGCACTGGGTCGCCATTATCTGCTTCAGACGTGAAATGGAGACATCTCATAATCAGTAGAAATCTATTCCGACCCATTTATTCAGCGAAAATTGGTATGGAAAATAACTTGCCTGTTTTCCAGTAATCCTGAAGACGACTAAGCTGAATAGTGCCCATATGAAAGAGTAGACCCAAAAAAACTTTAAACTCGGAAACAGTTAGTTCCTTCCATGCCGATATTCTAGATTTTTGTGACACTCCAGCTGATAATTTGACTGCTTGTTTATTAGTTTCATCACAAATCATTTTAAGAAAATTTTCACTAAAGAAATAGTCGAAATAATCAATGGGTCTTTATTTATTTATTTTATTTATTTATTTAATAGACAGTAGGAAGTATAACAATTAATAAGGTGTAAACATAAACACTTTTGAGTTTTACCGTACACCCCACGCCGTAGATATACAACAATAAAAATTAAAACTATTTATAACAATATTTGCTACACACTTCATACATACATATTTAAGAAACAATCATAAGACAGCCACACATTTTATAAACACCATGCGGGTATATCACAAAATAAAGTTATGTAAGTGGACGTTCCTATGCAGCATTGTCTTCATTTATTGATACTTTTTTATTCTACAGGATGTTTTTTAGCATTACGGTTTTAACAAGTATGGTATAAAGTGTGGTTTGTGATTATTATTATATAGTGTTGTTAGTTTATATTTATTACATATGTGTATTTTACAAAATATAAACATATATATACACATATACATATATATATATATATATATATATATATATATATATATACATATACATATATAATATATAACATACACACACATACACATACATATATACTATATAGATAGATATAATGTTGTTATGTGTATTTTTTGTTTATTATTTGTAGAAAATATTGTTTCAAGATGTTTTTTAGATTTTTATATGTTATTTTTTCTTTAATAGGATTAGGTATAATGTTAATTAGATAAGGTATTATGTAATTTAATCGTTTTTTACCATACAGGTTATTATAAGAAGGTAGTTGTAGTCTAAGATTATCTTGTCTACGGATTGAATAATTTTCGTGTAGTTTTTGTAGATTTTCAGTAAAATAATATTGTGATAAAAGAGTTAGTTCTACTTTTTCATGAATTGGTAAAATTTTACAAAATGTAAATAGCTTACGGTAATCTTTAAAGGTATCTTTTATTTTTATAGGAACTATTCTTTTTAGTATACTTAGCTGGAGTGAAAAAATATTGTCTAGGTGTGTTTTAGAGGTCCTTCCATAACTGGACAACCCATAGGATATTATAGACTCAGCCAGGGATTTATAGAGTAGTAGAAGTGTTTTATAAGGTATTTTAATTTTTTATAATTGAGAATTTGGCTAATACTACCCTTAATTTGTCACTCACATAGTTAATATGCTCCTTCCAGTTTAGCCGATCGTCGATTACGAGTCCAAGGTATGTATATTTACTTACTTGTTCTATGGTGTCACAGTTACATTGAGCGTTATTTGATTGTTTTAAATGTAGACATTGATGGTTGTGTGCTATAAGTTTTAATCTAAAAGTGCTTCTGTTTTTACTAGAGCTGATGTAAATTAGTTTCGTTTTATTGGAATTAAGTACAAGTCCAACATCATGAGACCATTTCACTAATATGTCAAAATCGCTTTGAAGTCGAGTAAGGGCATCTTCGATGTTTCGTCCTGTGGCAACTAGACATGTGTCGTCCGCAAACTGGTACAACTCACAGTTTTATTGCATTTGAGAGATTATTTACGTAGGTGAGGTAATGTAAGGGTCCTAAGACGGAGCCTTGGGCAGTAACTTCGGTTACTAAAACTGAGAAACTATCTACATTACTGATCCTAACTTGGTAGCTTCTATCATGTAAGTAGTTTTCGCACCAAGTTAGTAGATTACCTCTGACCCCACTGTCGTTCAAGCTTTGTAAAAGCTTGTCATATCTGAGAGTATCAAATGCCCTACTATAGTCAACGAAGACGACCAATATATGCTCTTTTTTATCTAAGTGGTTATAAATACTGTCAGTGAAAGTAGATAGCAGTTGAGTCGTGCTTTTATGTGGTTGAAATCCGTATTGGTTGCAAGTTAGTATACTATTATTGGCATAAAAGTGTTGCATTTGAGTTCCTACATATTTTTCTACTACTTTGTTGATCGTAGGCAATATGGTTATTGGTCTATAGTTGAGGTAGTCCACCTGGCTACCTTTTTTATGAATTGGTCTCACAATGCCGGTCTTTAGTAATTTTGGGTATTTGCCAGTGAGAATGCATGCGTTTATAAGTTTAGCAATGGTTAATGAAATTTTGTCACACATCTTTTTTACATCAATGGCTCTTATTCTATCTACTCCAGGAGCTTTGTTACTATTAAGACATTTTAGTATTTTTGTTATTGATTTGGGTTCTGCAGACCTAAATCTCATACTCACATTTGCTGATACTGCATAGGTTTTTTTGTCGAGCAATGGTTCGGGACATTTTGATATTATTTGTTTGACACTATTATTGAATGTGACAGCGAATTTATTTGCAACGTCTTTCGATGAATTGTTATTGCTGCCAAAAGAGCGTTCTAAGCCTTCATCTATAGACGATTTTATTCTACCCGTTAATCTGTTTAAGATAGACCACAAATTTTTAGTATTGTTTTTGTTGGATATTATTTCTGACTTAGTGTTTTTGTTTTTAGTTTTTTGAATCAATGCATTGGCATTGTTTCTAGCTTTATTGTATTTTAGTTTTAAAATCATATTATTTGTAATTTTTATCCTTTGAAAAAATAAATTGTCCCTATACTCACAGGCTTTGATGATTTTATTATTTATCCAGTCGTTATCAATTCGCGTAATTTTAGTATTAATTTTGATTGAATATTCTGATTTTTATAGCATTCTGTAAATTTTGTATAAATATAGTTGTAAATATTTAATCTTATCCCATGATTAGCGTAAAATTCGTTGAGTCGCGTAAAAGTAAAGTTTTTCATTTCGCATACCTCAGTCTACTCTGATATAGAGCCTTCAACTGATGGGTTGATCGAATACATATCTTCTTGGGATAAATTGAGTTGGTCTTCTGAAGTATCGGGCGTCGAATGTGGTGGTGCGGAATGTGGCCTTCTGATCGGTGAATTTGATTCTATATTTATGGCAGATAGGCGGGAAAGTTGCAGTTGCTCGTCGTTGACATCCTCTGAAGATTGGTCCTCTTCCTCACTTCCAGGGTCAAATTCGTCGCTCGATTCAAGATCGGCAAATAATTCATCTTCAACGCCTGAATTACGTAAATAGCTTGTAGAAAACCGACTTCTTTTAGGCCGCGAAGGGCCTGCCTCTTCCGCCATTTTAATCACTTGTAAAATAAAAACACGTGGCTCGATTTAAAAACCGTTAACTTTGAATGAATCGTAAAAAATTCACGCGCAGTGCCAACTTAAACACAACACGCCAAACGCAGTGCCGGCGGCACACTGACTCATAGAATCTGTACTTTTTTTTTTTTTTTTTTTACGGGGTAAAACCACTCCGGTGTCTCCTCACACGTGCGCGTGGGGCCTGTGGGAATCCAAATTCTTCCGCAGCCCCACACTAGTGCTGGCCCGGTCCGTCCAGGCCTCGTCTCCTTCACGGGGTAGTGAGGTCTGTACTGAGCCAAGCCCGCGCCAGCGCGTGGTCGGCCCCTCGCGCAATACCCCGCATTCCGCGCCAGCGCGGGCTCGGCAGCGAAGTTGTTAATCTTTTCTGCTCTCGTGTATGTATGTATATATTTTTGTATTTAAAATGTATTTATTTATATTATAGATGTATGTATTTATGGATTATATTATATATGTCGTGTGTATTTTCTATCAACCTACGTACCTTACCCTTTCTCACAGGTCATTTTATCCTCTGCAATGTGGTTGCCTGGTAGAGATCGCTCCCAAGCGATAAGGCCGCCAATTGTACCTTTAAATAAATTATGTTCTTTTTTCTTCTCATATGTATTTTTTGGTGTACAATAAAGTGTATTTCATTCATTCATTCATTCATTCATCCCGATGAGGAGGTGGAGGAAATGTATGAAGATATATGTAGAGCCATGCATTCCTTCAAAACCACTATACGGTGTTAATAGGAGACTTTAACGAAAAATAAGGCACAACAGAGAACAGTGAGCTGAAGTTAGAGAAAATTGGAATAGGGCAACGGAACCCAAGGGGCCAGCAGCTGGCTGACTTCTTGGAGAAAGAGGAACCCTTTACGATGAACTCTTTCTTGCAGAAGCAGCCCCGCAGGAAGTGGAAGTCCTGTTCAGTGATGTCTCAGTGATCGCGAGGCTAAAAGCCGGCAGCGATCAGCGAATGGTAAGAGACACACTGAACCTAAACGTTAAGTTACAGAGGTCACGGCTAATGAAGTCAAACCTGCATTAAAATCCATTGAAATGATATAAATGACAATGTCATGGAAACCGTCCATGCGGCCGGAGCTAATTTCTGCAAGACCCGCCGCAGAGGAACACAAAAACTCTCCGACCACACTCTTTATCTAATGGCTGTTAGAGGGAGGGGAAGCTGCAGTCTTCAGCAAATTTGACAGCATACAGGCAACTGAACAGACAGATCTCCAAATGCATGCAGCTGAACTTACGCAACTTTAATACAGTTCATGTTGAAAAAGTGATCGAGCGGAACCAAGGCTCCTAGATCTTTGCCAGAGATCTGTCTGCCAGAAAAAGCCAACGCTCGAAGCTGAAGACCGAATGTCTCAACATCGTTACCGGGACAACTGACATTTTGAGTGTGATTGA